AAAAGGAATCCCCTTGAGTTTAACCATGTTAAAGCATTGTCAATAAACCTTTCAACCTTGATGAACCCTAAAAGATTGGGAATTCTCAAAATTGGACAATATCAGAATGTTATAAGAAGCAATTTTTTTCAATGAAAGGAAAGCTAACGAGCTTTTTAACAAGAATTACCGAGCACAAATCTTCTCTCTTATTAGATCACTATATAAAAAATCATTATCTTTTGCTTCTACATAGTATGCACAAGCATGTTTCAAGTTGAACAATTGTGCCTGTTTCAATTCAGTAGTAATAAGTTCGTAAAATTATGTATAAATAGAAACAAGTACCCACCTATGCATGGCTTCCAGTAATCACTGTTGAAACAAAATCTTGTTCAGGATAAATGTACAGCTCTGCACCATGCTGTTGAAAGGGAAAACGAGAGATGTGTTGCACTTTTGTTAAAATATGGTGCAGGAACCTGTATTGAGTCAAAAAATGAGGTATGGAAATCAGGATTTATAATTATTGTTTAATAAAATTACAAGGTAACATATGAATAAGTCACATAATTAGTAAAGAAACCTCTTGGCTGGTTGGTATGTAGGCTGATAATGCCACAGCTAAGAGATTGCCTGAAAGAATGATTGTTTTGAAATCAATGTGAAAATTTGGGGACAATCTCTTTGGCAAAGAGATTATCAGCCAACATACCCATTAATTTTCATATTGCATAAAAACTGCTCATGAGACAGCAAGCATTGACCTGATGGTTAGGATGTATATTTCCAACCAGCTTTTTATATATCACTTGTACTGGACTCTACAAAACAAGTTTTAGCTCTTCCATGTATAGAGAAAGCTGGCTTTCTTCCACTGCCTTTGTTTCTTTTCAAGGGAATCAAATTGTGCAGTGATTTTGCACCATGTGATGGAAAGTAGCCAATAAAATTGCACAAAAATGGGTGATACCTGGGTGATATGTGCAGCTGTTTGATGTAATTGTGAGCTCTTCTTGCATAGATATACTGAACAGGCTAGAATATTTTATAGGATCATACAAAGTCATGTATCATATTGCATTATTTTATTATCCACTATCTGCATGACTAAGCATGATGTGGTAAGCAATGGAACATTCTGGAATGTTTTGGAGCATCCTAGAAAATTACCCTACTAAAGGTCTAAGTTGTGTGATGGTCTCAATCATATTTCTAAGTACAGTACCTGTATTTGGTCAAGCAGAATGGTGATGAGCAGAAAGAGAAACGTCAACTGGCATATGTTGTATGTTTAACAACAAATCATATATCAGAACTGAATTTTTCAGAAATTTCTAACCTTTTCATAAGTGACTGCACAGTCTGTTCTTCTCCTTTCTCTATCCTTTTGTGGCTCACAGCAAGGGCGCACACCACTGGACCTAGCAAATGATCATCGTAACCAAAACATTTTGAAGTTACTGAAGGGTCATATAGAAGCCAGCGAGGTTAGTTTGCTTTATTTGCAAGAAAATTTTTCTCTTATTTAACTCAAGTTTATCTAGTGCTAGTATATTTCCATATGGTGCTATTATATTCCATAGTGCTAGTATATTTCCATATGGTGCTATTATATTCCATAGTGCTAGTATATTTCCATATGGTGCTATTATATTCCATAGTGCTAGTATATTTCCATATGGTGCTATTATATTCCATAGTGCTAGTATATTTCTATATGGGAAATCTTTGATGCTATTTTAGGTTAGGGGCTGAGTTGTTTCCAGTCTTGCCATGGCATGCAAAGTATTAGAGGGGAATGGGGAAAGAGTTGATAATTAATGGAAAAGGAAGAAAGACACTCTCTCTTACGTTCTCCCTTACTCCATACCTTGTATAGGTGGTTTGCAACCAATCTCTAGAGACGCAGGTAACAATGGTGAAAGGAACAAATGCTGGTGGACGAACAAAAGAAGCTAATGAGATATCTATTGTTTTCGTCCACCAACATGGCGGCAATGACGTAACGTGCAAACCACCTAGTCCCAAAGTGCCTACATCAAGAGTCACGTTAAGGAAGAGGGGCGCAAGTCGAGGTGTATGTGTTTGGGGAAGGGTCTGTTTTAATTTTTCTAGCGGCTTTCTGTAATCCTGCCTAACCTTGATCTAGCATATACATTTCTTATAAAACTTGACATAATTTGGCTAAAGGCCGTATCGCATATCATTCTGCAAAACCGTACTTGTGCTCACATTGATTTCCTTGATCAACTTATTTTCTGATTGCGTTATTATTGACGGATTCCCTGAAATTCTTTTCAGTTTCTGGAAAGGCGAAAAGCACGGCTAGGAGAGGGTGCCTCTGTAGAATCAGATAGCTGTAAGTCATTCATTTATTTATTTATTTATTACAATTTAATGGCTCAGTTAAAACAAATAAAGTTATGAAGTACAGGCGAAAAGAAAAGAAACGCCATATGGATAATCCGTGAAGGAGTCCAGGACCTCATATGAAAACAGATCACCAAAGTTAAATAGGCTAAAAATATATTACATATGTTTTAAACTAGAAATAATTATTATAAAAATTTCACGGAATATATTAATGAGATATATTATCCACTAAATACTTCTTAACACCTGCCTTAAAACTATTTACACTTGCTGCTCTACGAGTATTAAAGGGCAAAAGATTCCAGGAATCAACTATCCGGTGAAAAAAACTATATTTCAGAGGATTTGTTCTTGCGTATTTCTTCTTTAAAGAAACTGTGGTGCTGCGTCGGTGGGGGTAACAAGGTGATTTGGTAATATCAACTAAGTTGAAATTGTAAATTGGCCACCGTGAAGAGTTAAAAAGCTGACGTTTCGAGCGTTAGCCCTTCGTCAAATCTCTAGAGACACAAGGTAACAGTGGTGAAAGGAACAAATGCTGGTGAACGAACAAAAGAAGCTAATAAGATATCTATTGTTTACGTCCACCAACAGAGCGACAATGACGTAACGTGCAAACCACCCAAGATTTCGTTTATTGTTCTTGCGAAATTTCCGCCAAAATTCGCGCCAGATTTCGCGTAAAAAATATGAGGCTTGCCTTTGTAAGCGCCGCTTTTCTAAGGCAAAGAGCGCGTCGTTTCGGTGGACGGTGCACGAAATTTATCTTTGGAAAGACATATTAACAAATCGCTAAATTAGTGACCAAGACAATTTATCCTTACAATATCGATACAATTCAGGGGATTATTAGTTGATCCAATACCAAATTCTCCAAGCTAACATCATAAGAATTGTATGGAAGACAGTAAGGAGAATTTCTAATGAGATCTTGGGAGTGAAAGGGCCGGTTAAAGTGACTTTTAAGAAACAGCTGACCGAAGAAAACAACATGTGAGATTGTCACAATCTACCCTGCGAGCAGAGCCTTTTTAACCCGTCCTCGAATCGAAAAGGGAAAAAGGCTCTGCCGACATCCTGTTGTTGCTCGTTTGAACATGCGCGGCGGTTGCCTAGAAACTGATCCTTTTCCAGGCCCCCCTTGAACTATTGAGGGCGCAGATTTGGTCATCTGTGTACATGAAAAACAAAGGCGTGCGCACCAAAACCGGTTTGACTGGAGGCAAAACCGGCTTGGCTAGCCTGGAGTTTTGGGCTCTCGGCATTTCAAAGCAACAACAGGATGTCGGCAGAGGCTTTTCCCTTGGAGGGTTAAAAAGGAAGAAAAGGCTCTACTCGCAGGTTAGCTTTCTATTCAATTAAATGAATGTCCTTCCTCTGTTATCTGTCGGCCTTCTTGACGCTGTTCACCAGAATAAATGTTCAGATAAAAAGTTCAGCTAAATGAAAATTGTTTAGGACGCGGTTTTGTTAAACAACGTTAAACTCCGTCTAAATAATCAGTTTAATTTTATCGTATTCTTCCTGCCGAAAAGATTAGAGTGCATCAGGATTGATTTAACTTACGTCTTTTACCTGGTAAAATCTGTGAATTAATTCTATTAATGCTTTCTTTTTGCTTATGATGAAAAGCTTTCAATACTCAAACGCATCCACAGAACTTAGTGGTCGGAGCAGGAATTCCTCCTCAACTTCCATTAAATGGCGGTGAGTTTGTTCTCAGTGATACGTGATCAAATAGAGTTAAATGTGATAGGTCGCTCTTCAATTGTATCTCTAGTTCAAACCTTACAAGTTTCCCCTCGATTTTGGGTTTGCTCATGAATCGCAATAAATTTGAAGAATGAGTAGAAATGAATCTGGCATTGGAGACTCTCGTCGCTTAGGGTGGCTCGTACTGGTTTTCATCTTTTTGATGGTTTGTAACTTTGAGAGAATACAACAGAAAGACTGACCAAGGCCAGTTGAACACTTTTACTGGGTTGAATTACATAATCATTGGTTATCCAAAAATAAGTGTCATTTCGTCACTAGCAATTTCCATGGCAACGCTTTCATAGGCTCATTCGGACGCATTTTTTAGCTTGTGGCTTAAATAATTCGAAAACTAACTCGGTGACCCCCTGATTTTTTTCAGTGATTGCTTTTGGCACTTGAAAAGGAAAATGCACAAAGATT